TTGTTTTAATCAGGGAGCTCCACCAAACACTGTCCACTGCAATGAGTCTTCTGAATACATATTAAATTTTTGCCAGTTCCCTGTTTTTAAACAGAATTAATGTTTTAAACTATGTCAGCAAGATTTTCCTTTTGTGTGATATTCATATTTATCTATGATTTCCACATTCCACTGGATCATGTTTTAAAAATAATGACACATATGGACATCTTCTCATTGGTCAGTCAGTTAGATATCTTCCAAATCCCTTGGCATAGATGATTGGGCACAATCAAGGCTTTATTTATTTCCTAAAGCACCTCAATGGCTATTTTCTGGATTCCTAGAGCCTTATTTTTACCAATGTCTTCAGTGCAGCTTTAACTTCTTCCTTAAATATTCTTAGTTCTTGGTCATATGCTACTTCCTGAAAAGGTTCTATGCCACTAATTCATTTTGATTCAGTGACTCTGATGACCCTTCTTTTTATCTTCTTTCGACATTATTTACATCACTCATTGTTTTGCCCATAAAATTCTTCAGTGTTGGAACTCCCAGCTTAACTTTGTTCTTCAGCTCGTTCAGCTTGAGAAGTCGAACACACTCTTCTTTTTTTGGTTTTCTTACTCCAGATCTTTGCACATTCACTTTGATATGCTTTGTTTTCTTTAACCACCCACTCAGTTTTAATCACAATTCTGCATTTTAAATTTTCAAAGTGACCCAAAATGAAATAATCATTCCAATTTAAAAGGTTGGTGAACTGAAAACAAAGAACTTGAAATTATTGCACATTCTAGTGCTCATCTATCTATAAAGTGTGTATAATTTAAGAAAAAATATCTGAGAAGTAACGTTCTTGTTAATAGCTTGTGATTCTCTAGGGTGGAGTGTGATGTCATTAGATAGAAATTACTTGACTAATGTAAAACTTCTAGATTCAGTGTTGCTGTATGATCCACAGCTATAAAATTTTATATTACTTTAAAAAGATATATTTTTCTCGATAAAATAGAATGTTTTCCTTTCATGTCTATAAAACAAAAGTTTTTTTATTCTCTCTCTGTCTCTGTCTCCCTCTCTGTCTCTGTCTCCCTCTCGTTCTCTGTCTCTGTGTGTGTCTCTCTCTGTCTCTGTCTCTATGTGTGTCCTCTCTCTCACTCTGTCTCTCTGTGTGTGTCTCTCTGTGTGTGCGTGTCTCTTTCTCGCTCTCTGTGTGTGTGTCTCTGTCTCTGTGTGTGTCTCTCACTCTCTGTCTCTGTGTGTGTGTGTGTCTCTCTCTCTCATTCTCTGTTGCTGTGCGTGTGTGTGTCTCTGTGTGTATGTGTACATACATATTTTATCATCAGCATTTTATACTAGACAAGTAAAGAACTTGTCAAAAGGTTATTTCTTAAGAAGTAATGCCACAGCAAACTAACCTCTTTCCAAAGAACAGTCAGTGACATCTCTCTGCTAAGACAGTCAGGTTTTAAATGAGAAATTGTCTAGCAAATAATCTTTCAGATGTATTAGAATTTCCTTTTCCCCTCCACATCTCTATGTAACAACTTTGATATACCATCAAGAGGCCTTACCTTTGTTCCTGCAGTGCAATGAGGCTCTCCAAAATCTGGACATTAAAGTTGTATGGATAATTGTTGTTGCTATGTGCCATAGAGTTGCTTGTGACTCATACAGAACCTGTGTACGAGAGTCCTAAACTTTGCTCTATCCTTATTGTCTCTAAAACACTTAACCCCATTTCCCCAGTCACTGTATCACACCATCTTGTCGAGGGTCTTCCTCTTCTGCACTGCCCCTCCACTCTCCCAAGAATGACATCCCTCTCCGAGGACCTGTCCCTCCTTACAACATGTCCAAAGTATGTCAGATGAAGCTTCAGAATCCTTGCCTCCAAGGAGCAGTCTGGTTTCACCATCTCCAGGATGAACCTATTTGTTCTCCTAGCAGTCCATGGTATATTCAACTTTCTTCTCCAGCGCCACAGCTAAAAGGCATCAATTCTCTTTCTATTATCCCTTGCTCTCTGACACATAGAAAGGAATTGTGAAGATTATGACTTGGATCAGGCACACCTTAGTCTCCCTACTGACGTTGTTGCTCTTCAGTACTCTGGAGAGGTCTCTGACAGCCGACTTTCCCAATGCAATTTTGTCTCTTGATTTCTGGACTACTGGTACCAAGAGTGTTGATTATGGAGTCAAACAAACGAAAATTGTTAACAATCTCAGTTTCTTCACCATCCAAATGATGCTGCCAATTGGCCCAGTGTTGAGAATCTTTGTTTTCTTGATATTGAGCATCAATCCATACTGAAGGCTGCAGTCCTTGACCTTCTGTAGCAAGCGCTTCAGGTCCTCCTCAGTTTCAGCAAGCAGGGTTATATCATCTGCATAAAGCAAGTTGTTGATGAATCTTCCTCCAATCCTGATGTCACATTTCTCCTCAGACAGCCCAGCTGCCCGGATAATCTGTTCTGCATATATACTGAAAAGGTACGGAGATAGGACAAATCCCTGGCATACACACTTTCTGATTTTGAACCATGCAGTGTCTCCTTGCTTTGTTCTAATGATTGTCTCCTGGTCCAAGTACAGGTTTCACATAAGCACAGTCAAGTGTTCTGGGATGCCCATTCTTCTCAGAGTCAGCCACAGTTTGTTGAAATACAAAATAATATGTTCTAATACAAGTGATGGCTCAGTGGTTAAAATGCTAGGTTGTTAATTGAAAGGTAGGTGGTTCAAGCCAAAACCTCTGTTTATGTAAAGATAATAACCTTGGACACCGTGTAGAGCAGCTTTGCTCAGCCCTTTAAGGTCACTATGTGTTGGGATCCACTGGAAAATATGGGTTGTTGTTACTGTTATGTGCTGTCAAGTAGCTTGCAACTCAAAGGGACGCTATATACAAGAGCCCTAAACCCTACTCTAGCCTGTGACAACCTCACTGTCTCCGACACTCCCACCTCCATTACCCCAGTCACTAAATTGATCCATCTCAGAGAGAGTCTTCCTCTCCTGCACC